AGAGTTCCCTTTTTTCCTTACAGGAGGCCCACTTGGCCACGGAGTATGTTCAGCACATCCAACAGGCCCTGGACATCCTCTCTCAGGAGGTAGGAGAGGGATTGCGTGTTCCTGGGTCCCGCCAGCCACCTCCCTGGGCTGCATCCAGGCAGGTTGTGTTCACTGAGATGCTCACTGAGCAGAGACCCGCCATGAGTGGGCACCTGGATGGTAGGGAGGGAGGTGGCTGTCAAGCTCCTCTGCAGGAGAAATCTCACTTGGCCAGAGACAGGCTTGTGTGGCAGCAATGAGCTTGCCTTGGCACCAGTCGGCCCAGGTTTGCACCCAGTACTGTGGCTTCAGGCAAGTGACCGCTCTGTGTCTCAGCTTCTCGATCTATAAAGCGGAGCCACTCAAGAAGATTCAGTGAGATAGTACAAGTCACATCCACCCTCTGGGCCTGTTTCTTCATTGGTAAAATTGGGGGGTGGGAACTGGACTGCAGATGACCCCCAGGTTCCTCCCAGCAGTAGCCAGTGCCTTAACAAAGCCACCCTCCGCTCCCTGCAGCTGCCAAGGACTTTCGTCAACGTGGTGGAGGTCATGGAGCTGGCCAGCCTGTACCAGGGCCAAGGCGGGAAATGTGCCATGCTGCCAGCTCAGTAAGTGGACAGGTCACCATCCCAAGGCAAGGGCACCTGGGGTGAGGAGGGCTTGCAGGCGCCAGAGGAGGAGACCAGTTGAGGCAGAGCCAGGCAGGCCTGCCAGAGGGCAGACGTGGCTCAGGGGCTTGGACAACATCAGGAAGTACCTCTACATTTGTGAATGCCTACTGTATGCAAGACGCTTCATTTCTCTGGACCCCTGTTTGCTTTTCTGTAGAAGGAGACAGACCAAATGATCCTTAAGGCTCCCTGACATTGTCAGTGATTGCCAGGTCAAACCTCGGCATGTTGCTCCCTGTTGAGCAGCAGCATGGGGCCATGAGCTTTCAAGGCTGCTGCCTCCGGCCTCAACTGCTCTGCCATTTAGGAGCCTTGGAACCTTGAACAAACCACATAACCTCTACGAGCCTCTGTGCTCCTCATCTGTAAAGTGGGGGAGATGGCACCTTCCCTGCAAGGTAGATGTGAGGGCAAGAGGAAACAATTAAGATACCCGGCCTACCGAGAGCAGGGTCTTAGGAAATAGCTCTTATTCCATCCGTAATGGGACCTGTCCTTGACAGTTGGGCTTGGAGGCAAGGTGGTGATGGGCAAGACAGGAGCTCCTGTCGGGGGCTGGAAGTTGCCATGTTCTGAGGGCAGAGGGCCTCCCAAAGTGAGTATTGCTATGAGAGAGGAGGTTCTCCAGGGAGCTGAGGAATCCTATACCTGGGCTCAAATGGATTTGCTGCAAAGGTGACCAGCTGGTTCCCATTCTTGCAGGGAACAGCTCCTCCAGAGTCTGTCTGTATTGTGTTCCATGTTGTCAGGACTGCTTCTAGCCGGTGGCCCTCCCCAGCTTTCCGCAGACTTCCCACACTGGAGCCCTGAGGGAGGGTCCTAAGCAGTTGCAGGAAGAGCTGAGAGGCCCCAGGAACATGAGGAGTGATTCCAAACCCAGGCACAGAGAGAGCCATTGTGGCTGGTTTCCTGAACTCCAGTCTCCTGCTCACCCAGTCCTGCTCTGGAGAAATCCCAGGCTGGTTTCCTAGAGCAGTTAAGGAGGAAGGGGAATAGGCGTCTGTCCACAAGAAGGTCCAGGCACCAGGGGCCAGCTCTCCCACTTTCTCTATGAACAAGCATCCTCTGGACCTCAGGGCTCCTGAGTTAGCGTTCTGAACCTGGGTCTGAGTCTGTCAAAGGTGTATTGTGGGAATACTTGTGTGTCACCCCCTGCCCCAGGTAAGGCAGCACAGGCTGCAGGCCCCTGGGGTGGCAGCCTGCGCTGTGTGTCAGAGCCAGCCTCCCAGGAGGGCAGAGCCACGGTGCCCCAGGGAGCCTCAATACAAGACTCCCTGTCTCACAGGAACAACTGCACTTGCCTCAGACACTCTCAAAGCTCCCTGGAGAAGCAAGAACTGAAGAAAGTGAACTGGAACCTCCAAGTAAGCCCTGCAGCCCTTCTCTTACTGACCCAGCGGGGGGCCCTGTACTCCCTGAGCAAGGACTCGGAAATCGAATGCTCAGCAGGATTTGGCCAAGAGCAAGCCACTCCCTAAAAGCAGATCACAGCCCCTGAAATACTTATCCCTGCAAACTGAACACCAAGGCCAGGGAAAGGAATGAGAGACCCTAAAGTGGAAGCTGAGAGAATCCTCTCCTCCTAGCAGGCAGGCAGCAAGAGACTCCCAGAGTAGACTCCTTGTGGTGGGGCCCATTTTCCCCATGCAGAACCATGTGTAATAATTACTACTCACTTCCTCCCCTCCCTTCATTCAAAACAAAAGGCTTAGGCCCAGCACAATGGCTCATGCTGGGTGTCCCAGCTACTCAGGAGGCTGAGGTGGGAGGACAGCTTGAGCCCAGGCGTTGGAAGCTGCCATGAGCTGTGATCATGCCATTGTACTGCTGCCTAGGCAACAGAGTGAGACCCTATCTCGAAAAGAGAAAAAGGCTTAACCCTGCCCTACTTACCTCTACCTCAAATTCTCCTCGCCCTCTCTCTACCCCCTTCCATCTCCCCACCTCCACTCCTGCTTATGTCTCTGGCTCTATTATTCCCTCTCAGGCTCAGGTAGCATTTCCATTCTGCAAACTGACCTGCCTTCATTCACAAGGCAAGTCTGCTTCCCTCCTCTGAGGAGCTTCCCCTGCCTGAACTTCACCCGCAGACATCTCCCCATATCACATTCAGTCTGTACTTGATGGGCCCTGAAAGCCCCAAATGGTCCTCATCTTGTACTCATGTTCCCAGGTGGATGAGAAACTTCTTGAAGATAAGTACATCTAGTCTGTTCCTTTTATGTTCCATGCTTGGGTACTTAAATCCAGCCACCATGAACTCTCCTCCCCCAAAGTTCGCGAGCATTTTGGGAGCTGGTGTTGAGATGCTCCCCATCTGACCTGCAGCCCCATTTTCTAATTGACCTCTTCATGTAGTGAGCAGAGGAGGCCTTTGGCCCAGGCAATCTGGTCAGTGGCTCAGACCCAGCCTTGCAGGCAGAGGCTTTGGAATGGGACTGGGTGGAGCTGTGCAGATAGGGAGCTTCTACCACCAGGAGCCGCTGGGTTCAACTCATCTCTGAGCCTGAGAACCAGGATAGGGCCTTGAAATGCAGGTGCCCATGAATGGGTGGAGAATAAAAGCATGCATGCATTCCACTAGAGTAGGGCCTTAAAGTCACTGTCGTTTAGGGTGAGTTGACTCCTGTCACAACCAATCCAAGACAGCAAGACTGAACCCTGTCTGTGCAGCCTTGCCAAGAGGGTTGAGTAGCTTCTCTCTCCATCCCCAGAATGGCATCTCCAGTTTCTCCTACTGGCACCAATACACACAGCGTGAGGACTTCACAGTTGTGGTCCAGCCTTTCTTCCAAAACACACTCATACCACTGAACGAGGTGAGCCGCGGGCATTTCAGGGAGGCTCGTGTATGGAGGCCTTATCACAGACAATGGATGTACTTCTTTAAGTGGGCATTTTTTTTAACCATCTCTCTCCAAGAGGGCTCCTGAGGGTGGCTTTTTCCACATTACCTCCTTTTTGTGGGGGCCGGGCTGTGATTGGAACTCAGATGTAGTTGGAAAGGAAATCAATAGTGACTAAGCTCCCCAGGCCTGGCCCTGATATTTTCTGGATTGGGATAGAATGGAAAGCTTCCTAAAGATATTACTCTTTTCAACTATTAGGATAGGGGTGCTGCAAGAAAAGGGAGAGACTATGGGTGGGTCCAATTCATGTCTGTTTAAAAAGAAAATTCTGGCCGGGTATAGTGGCTCATGCCTGTAATCTCAGCACTTTGGGAGGCCAAGGCAGGTGAATCACGACGTTAGGAGTTTGAGACCAGTCTGGCCAAAATGGTGAAACTCTGCCTCTACTAAAAATACAAAAAGTTAGCTGGGTGTGGTGGTGGGCGCCTGTAATCCCAGCTACTCAGGAGACGGAGGTTGCAGTGAGCTGAGATCGTGCCACTGCACTCCAGCCCAGCTGACAGTGCGAAACTCCGTCTCAAAAAAAAAAAATTCCAAATTCTGGGAGTTTTTCCATCAGTATCTGAGCCAGTTGGCAGGAGAGTTGGAAGGATGAAAGCAGACAGGCCCAGGGCACCTGCTGGGAGCGGGATTGGGGCTCAGGTAGCAGAGCCCTTTCCCAGGACGGTAACCTCCTTGCCTTTGGTTGCAGAGAGGGGACACTGACCTCACCTTCTTCTCCGAGGACTGTTTTCACTTCTCAGACCGGGGACATGCCGAGATGGCCATTGCGCTCTGGAACAACATGGTGAGCAGCCGAGGGCCTGGTGGGCCTTGTCAAGGGGAAATCCAAGGATATTGACTCTCTGTCTCACAATGGCAAACCTACTGGAGACATGGCTCCTTTCTCCCCAAAGCCCAAAATGGCAGCACACCTTTTTGGTCCTGATAGATTAATTCCAAAGGGAAAATACCCTATATTTATCCAACACCCTTTGAAAGTTACACACACACACACACACACACACACACACACACACACAACTTTATTCTTTGCGCCTTCAGCAATGCCCAGATACTGTGAGGGGATCCCTTTGTAATCAAATAGGTTGGCTGGATGAAAATACCGACTTCCACCTCTGACTGTGTGACTTTGGGCAAACGATCTCTCTGGCCACCTGTATCAACATCTATAAAACTGAAAACAAGACAGGTCTCAGAAAACGCATTGAGACCATGTGTACATGGCACCCTGCACAATAGCTGGCACTCAGCAAATGTCAGCACCATCAGCCTTCCAAGGACTCCGGGCTCAACTCATACCCAACTCATTTCTTTAAACATCGCAAAGTGGAGATCCACACAGCCTGTTTTCCCAGGCTGATACCTATTCCAGTCCTTTCTGATGGGGAGAAGGTACCTTATGAAATGAACATACAGACCAGGGGTCTCTCAGGGACACCTGGCTGGTGCTTCCACTCTTCCCTCTGTGGCTGGCCACCAACAACTGAATGGTGTCTGTACAGCACTTGGCCTGTCACTCCCAACAACTGAATCCTCTCGCACAGAGCAAATGAAATGCCTTCCCAACCCAATGGTTTCTTTTAATCCAGGCTCAGTGGGTAACACAATCCCCACCCCAACCTGTATGTTCCTTCCTTTGTCCTATGACAACTAAACAAGCTACATTCCAGCTCCTTTTATCACAGTTTCAGGCCCAGAGTGTCTCTGCCAACCACTGCTGTGCAAACATTCCCACCCCTGTCAGCTCATCCAGTGTGTCCAGCATCTCACTCGGCTGACTCACAATATTGACTTTCTCCTTAGCTACACCATCTCTTCCTCTCTAGCAACCTCTTTTAAGAACAGCATGTAAACTGGCTTTATCTTTGGCCTAGTTAATGACACACTCAGCTTATGTTGACTTCCATTGTCCTGGGGTTTTCCTCCCGTGGACATCACATATCTGCCCACTCCAAGAACCTCTGTTGTACTCTTCCAGCCCAAGACTCTGGATTGCAACCGAAATATCTTTGAGTTTGCCCCACAATTTTTAAATCAGTTGATATGGTATAATTCCTGTTTCTTTTGTAGACTTTGTTTTGAAGGCTAGTTGTCCTTCAGTGACTGAATCATGTGACTTTATTCCTTTGTAAAAATCCTCCCAAAGAAAGGGTACCTATTCCGTGTTCCTTTTCCCCTGAGACCTCAAGGGAATCCACAGATTCCAAGAAGAGCCAAAGAGAGCTAAGCCCTTGGCCCTTCCTTGCCAGTTTTTTCATCAAGGTATGGCCTTCCTACCCAGGTGGAACTCCAAGTCTGCTTAAAGCTGGGACCCTTCAGGAATCTCCTGGGGCTGGACAGCCATAGTGATGGCTGGAACATGAAAAAGAGTCCATTGGTTTCTCTTCATGTGAATTAACAAAGTAGATCTGGCCAGGCACAGTGGCTCATGCCTGTAATCCCAGCAGTTTGGGAGGCTGAGGCAGGTGGATCACTTGAGCCCAGGAATTAGACACCAACCTGGGCAACACAGGGGAGATCCTATCTCTACCAAACAAAAAAAAAAAAAATCAAAATATTAGCCAGGTATGGTGGTACATGCCTGTAGTCCCAGCTGCTCAGAAGGCTGAGGTAAGAAGATCACTTGAGCATGGGAGGTCAAGGCTACAGTGAGCCGAGATGGCACCACTGCACTCCAGCCTGGGGGACAGAGTGAGACCCTATCTCAGAAAACAAATAGAAAAGAAAAAATATATATATATGTAACTCTGGCCTTCTCTTCCAAAGCGGTTCAGTAGCTCTTCCCATTCACCCAGGTAAGAGGCCTTTATTTCATAAAGATAAGTGGGAGGAGTTTAGATATGAACACAAAACGTAAACACTGCACTGGAGCTATTGTGGAAACAAAACAAGACTGTCCATGGTTCCCCAGACATTATTATCTCAGCCATAGCCCGAACTTCAAAATAACAAAAACAAAACTAAAGCCATCCAGGGGTTTCTTATCCTAGGCTCTATAATTTGGGGAAATAATTATACAGTCTAATGTTTTCATCCAAAGCCAATCTCAGACATAAAGCTACAGCATCATGCCAACTTTTCAGATCGGCTTCTGGCTGGAATTTCACCCCTAGAGTAACAGAAAATAAATAACAGACCATTAGAGCTGTAACAGACTGAGAGGTCATCTAGCCAGAACATTCTGTAACTAAAGTATAGAGACACGAAGCAGTTTGCCCAACGTAACACAGACTGTTCATGGCACAAGGGGGAATGAGAGTCCAGGTTTTCCTAGTCCTTTCCTGGCGACCTGGCCACACCACCACCCTCCCCGCTGCTCCCAACCTGCTAAGCACATATATACCCGGTGAATTCATGTCTCACAATTAGAGTCCTATGACATAGTGTCTGCAGGCTTTGGCTGATGTTCCCAGGATTCCCTACTGGGAAACAAAAAGCACTTTAAACTATTTCACCTCCCGCCTCTCCTTTCACGTCCTTCTCCAGACCTTTGCAAAGGCAAAGCCAGAAGCACCAGCAGCACCAGCTGCACCAGGGGCTGTTTTCCTCTTCCTCTGCCTTCTTTTGTCTTCTTATCAAGAGCTTCTCTTTCCCCAGGCCTAGTCCTCTACTGCTGCCTGCTCCCTCTTCTGCAGATTTGAATCTCCCCAGGTGCTGGGTGACAGCTCCAGCCTCCTGACTGACATCCCTGTCTTCAGAGTCACAGCCCTTAGAATAGCAACTCTCAGCTCCAGCTGCATATTAGAATCAGTCAGGGACATGTATGTATGTATGTATGTATGAATGAATGAATGAATGAATGACAGAGTCTCACTCTGTTGCCCAGGTTGGAGAGCAATGGCGCGATCTCAGCTCACTGCAACCTCTGTCTCCTGGATTCAAGCGATTCTCCTGCCTCAGTCTCCCAAGTAGCTGGGATTACAGGTGCATGCCACTATGCCCAGCTAATTTTTGTATTTTTAATAGAGATAAGGTTTTGCCATGTTGGCCAGGCCAGGCTGGTCTTGAACTCCTGCCTTCAGGAGATCCACCCGCCTCGGCCTTCCAAAGGGCTGGGATTACAGGTGTGAGTCACTGCGCCCGGTCATCCAGGGACTTTTAAAAACAATCAGTGCCTATAGCCACTTTGGAAAACTCTTTGGTCTATTTAATAACGCTGAACACATGTATTTCCTGTGATCCAACGGTTTCAATCCCAGGTATATCCCCAAAAGAAAGGTATATATGTGTCCACCAAAAGATACACACAAGAATATTCACAGCAGCACTATTTATAAACAGCTCCAAACTAGAAACTCCCCAAATGTCCACTGACAGTAGGATGGATGAATAAACCGTGGCACATTCATACTGAGGAATACCATACAGGTCTGACCGCATCTGTGACTGAAAAAAAAAAAAATCAAGCAGGGCGATGTGACACAGAGTGATGGCTGGGAAGAGGGAGGCCTCACTGAAGAAGTGACAGTTGAGCAAACTTAAACAACATACAATATTATCTATAAAGTTCGAAAGCAAGAAGCTTGGCATATGGGGTTAGAAGTCAGCATGATGGTGTAGAGACTCACTGGGGGATGAATGGTCCTGAAAGAAAGTGGAAAGGAGCTTCTGAGGACTCTAATAGTCTATTGCCTGAGTGGATGCTGGTATGTTCATTTTATCAAAACTTACCTGTTGCTCACTTACGATTTGTACTAGTTTCTATGTGTATGTTAGCTTCAATTAAAAGTTTGAGGCCAGGTGCAGTAGCTCACACCTGTAATCCCAGCACTTTGGGAGGCCGAGGCGGGCTGATCACCTGAGGTCAGGAGTTTGAGACCAACCTAGCCAACACAGTGAAACCCCATCTCTACTAAAAATACAAAATTAGCCAAGCGTGGTGGCACATGCCTATAATTCCAGCTACTTGGGAGGCTGAGACAGGAAAATCACTTGAACCTAGGAGGCGGGGGTTGCAGTGAGCCAAGATCACATCATTGCACTCCATCCTGAGTGACAAGAGTAAAACTCTTCCTCAAATTAAAAAAAAAAAAAAAAAAAAGTTTACTTGAAAAACAATATCAGTGCCTGACCGGGCTTATCCCCAGAGATTCTGACTTAATTGGTCTGGAGTGCGAGCTGGATTCAGTACTTTGTGAAAGCTCCTGAGATTATTTTAATGTGCAGGGTTTATGAACCACTGCCTTAGATCTGGTCCCCACAGAGAAATCAAGTAATCTGTATAAAAAAAAACCTGACCCAGTCACTTCCCTGCTTTCAAACTTCCAAAGCCTCCCACCTCTGAAGGAGGCAGTCCAGGCCCCATTCCACAGCACACTAGGCCTCTGGGACTTGGCCTGATTCACCTGATTCACCTCTCTGGCTACCATTTCCACCAGCATCTGCCTCACATGTTACAGTCTAGTGACTCCAGCAGCATCCTGCACCACCCGTGGTGTTCCACACCTCTGCTCACTCTTGCTCTCCTCCTTCTCCTGGATTGCCCTTCCCCACTCCACCACTCAACTCGGGTGCCACCTCCTGCAGGAAGCCACCTCTGAATCTCCAGGACAGGCCAGTGGCCCACCTAGGTCCATTACACCCTGCCCAGTCCTGTCATTTGCTACGTGGTTGGTAGCCACAGTGCCTGGCTTAGGAAAGGCTGGTTCTAAGAAAAACAATTTCATCCCCTGTGACCAGCTCCAAGCCTTCCCCTGCCAAGCTTCTCCACTCAGATCTCTGTGACTTCAATTAATTCATCTATCCATCCATCCAACAAGAATTTACTGAGCACTGCTGTGTGCTAGATACTGCTCCAGGTACTGAGGACTCAGCAGTGAAAAAAGATGACTCCTGCTGTCATGGGACATACAGGATAGTAGGGAAAAGACAGATAATCAACAAGGTCATTTCTGACCACATCTGTGGCTTAAGAAAAACTCAAGCAGGGCGATGTGACACAGAGTAATGGTGGGGGAGAGGGAGGCCTCCCTGAAGAAGTGACGTTGGATTGAGAAGTGCACGTCAAGAGGTTGCCAGGCAGAGGAAATAGGACCCATGTGGGCCTAGAGTCAAGAATGAGCTTGAAGTGTCTGAGGAACTTAAAGGCCAGTGTGACCAGAGGGAAGTGAACAAGGTCAAAGAGTTGGGCAGGGGCCAGGTGCCTGGATGCTTCTAAGCAGGAGGGTGATATGCTCTGGCTTACCCCCGGATCTGTGTACCCCTGGACTGGAAGAAAGCAAGGGTGGATCTGGAAAGACCACTAGGAGGCCGCTGGTGATGGGTGAGAGAGGAAAGGGGCTGAGACTAGGATTAGGGCAGAGGAGGAGAGAAGCGGTGAGGTTTAGGATGTGTTGTGGGTTGGCAGATGGATGATGGGGAAGAGGAACAAGGATGACTTTTTGGTTTGGGGTCTAAGAAACTGGGTGGATGGTTGAGCAGGTAGAGAAAAATCAGCTTGGGAGGAAACAAATCAAGACTTCTGTTTTGGACATGGTGTGAACTGCTTTCCGGACATCCACATAGAGGTATCGGGATACAGAAGTCTAGAGCTCACAGAGGAAGTCAAGGCTGGAGATAGAAAAAAAAAAAAAAAAGTGGGGTTATTAGCATAGAGGGCCAACATGGTGAAACCCTGTCTCTACTGAAAGTACAAAAATTAGCCAGGCGTGGTCGCGTGCACCTGTAATCCCAGCTATTTAGGGAGGTTGAAGCCGGAGAATCGCTTGAACCCAGAGGCGGAGGTTGCAGTAAGCTGAGATTGTGCCATTGCACTCCAGCCTGGGTAAGACTCCATCTACAGAAGAAAAAAAAAAAGCAACCACTACAGGATCAACTAAGAGCTCCTAGAGAAAGAATAGGTAGAAAAGAGTATAAGGCCAACTACCTAGCCCTGGGCATTCATTCCAGCTTTCAACTCCAGTGAGAGAGGAGGAGGAGAGTGTGGAGGTAGAAAGGAAATGAGAAACAATGCTGTGTCCAGAGAGCCAAGAGAAGTCAGTGTTGAGAGAGAGAGAGAGAGAGAAAGAGCGAACGAGAGAGAGAGCTGTCAACTTTGATGAATGCTCCTGAGAAGCCAAGCAAGATGAACACATACACACAAAAAAAACACCTTTGGCTCTGCCTATATGGAGATCATTGGTGGCCAGGGCCAGAGCTTCCATCCAGCGATGGAGACTGCAGACTGGAGTGAGCAGCAGAGAGAAGGCGAGATTAGGAAGTGCTGCCAGCACCTATAGACAGTTCTTTCAGGAAGTTATGAGAAGTAACAGCCAAGGTCACTGGAGGGGATGTGGATCAAAGAGAGAGCAGCTGAAGGAGGGGAGATGTCGGAGCAGGTTGTGTACTATTGAGAAGGAACCAATAGAAAGGGAGAAACTGACACATTCATCAGACCCTTGTAATCATGATCATCTTCTGTGTGAATTAGTTCCTGGGTTCCTGGAACAGCATCGGGAATCAGCCACCCTGATCTTTAGCATTTATTCTGTCACTGTTACGATAGGCTTGAGTTTACGATAGGCTTGCATGTCCTCAGCTCTTAAGAAAGTGGAAATAATACTACCTTATGTATGTAAGCCACCCCGATCACACGTGCTTTCATGCCATTTTCTCATTTGATGCTCACAACAAACCAAGGTGTCAGGACAGGATGTCATGCCTGTCCCTAACCTCAGAGAAGTAGCCTTCCCAGCACTGCACAGCCCGTTACCAGCAGAGCCTGGATCCCAGCCCATTGTGCTCAGTCTAGTCACCCTGGCATCTCTCCCAGGAACAGAACTGCCCTCCCTCCTCCAATTGTGTCACTAAGGAACAGTATAAAAGACTTTCAGACAACAGAAAGTGAGATCATGGGCCAGGTGTGGTCATGAGCTCAGATCGTGAACTTTCACCTCCCTCCTTGGCAATACCCTGTGGTCAGGAGCAGGCAGAATACACACAGAGTGGAGGCTAGATGTTCCAGACAGACTCTGAATAGCTGACAGTGCTAGGGACTCATTCTTCTCAGTGCTGGCCACATGTTGGGCCTGGCTACTGGCTAAAAGATGCTGGGGAGGGGGATACAACAGCTCCTAGCTCATCCTCAGAGGGTCCTGGGATCAAAAGTATTTACACCCAGGAATATTTCAAATAAATCTTTTCATCTATGTGGAAAACATACAAAGTGGCTCAAGTGAGAAACTCCGGTTTCCTAAGGTTGACAAGTCAAGTGCAGTAATGATGTCATTGTAACCAATATGTTTCCAAAGTTTCCTGAAATTGACTAGCCCCACGCACTTCGAGAAGTTGGTAAGTAGGATTGTCATCATTTTATAAAATTGAGAACACGGTGTCTTACAGTCACAGCCACTCACAAAGGAAGCCAGAGATGGCCCCAACCCTTCCAAAGACTCCCTGTGGACTCAGGACCAGTGGCTTCTCCTGGGCCTTGCTGTACCTGGCAAATCCAGGGGCACAGACTCAGGGTCCTGCCCTGCCGACAGAGGCTGCTTCGTCCCTCTGTGCTTCATACGTCAGCTCCCGCTCAGCCCCAGGCTACTGGGTCCCTGCTGTGGGCCGAAAACCAGCCACTTTGCTGTTTTCTACCCCCCGACCCCCTTCCCGAGGGAGGGGCTCTGGTGTGAGACACCCCCTCAGAGAGGAAAGTGTCTCCCAGCTTTGGAGAGAATCAAGCTGTCCTTTCTCTCTCTCCAGCTGGAACCAGTGGGCCGCAAGACTACCTCCAACAACTTCACCCACAGCCGAGCCAAACTCAAGTGCCCCTCTCCTGTGAGTAAACATCCCGCCTGCCCCAGGTGGAACAGAGATGCCTGGGGTGGGGGGTGTCCTGTCCCCAAGAAGCACAAAGGAGTCCCCTGGGAGGCTCCCTCAAATGCAGCTTCACTCACTGCCATCTTCTCAAATCCCACCTGTCCCCACTGCCATGGAAACTTCTCAGGGTGTGGGCAGCCATGGAGTGAGGGGAGAGGACATTCAACAGCTCCAGCCAAAGTGAGGACAGTCAGGGAGGCAGATGAGCACTGGTGGGTGTCTGGGGTCACCCATTCCTTCTGAAAGCTCCGATGCATCCTCAGTCTTAAAAGTGCATCAAGGCCAGACATGGTGGCTCATGCCTGTGATCCCAGCACTTTGGGAGGCTGAGGTGGGCAGATCACCTGAGGTCTGGAGTATAAGACCAGCCTGGCCAATATAGTTAAACCCCATCTCTACTAAAAATACACAAGTTAGCCGGGCATGGTGGCGGGCGCCTGTAGTCCCAGCTACTCGAGAGGCTGAGGCAGGAGAATCACTTGAACCCAGGAGGCCGAGTTTGCAGTGAGCTGAGATCATGCCACTGCACTCCAGACTAACTGATTCAAAAATAAAAGTGCAGCAAGCAGCTCTCCCGTGCCGGGCAGTATACTAGGATCTGGGGATCGGGAGGCAAAGATAAAAAAGACTCAGTGTCTGTTCCTGGAGCCCGCAATGGTCTTCCTCCCTCACCACACCCACCGCCCTCGCCTGGCCCACCTTCGAAGCCTGTGACTTGTCTCCCCAACTCTCCTCTCCCTCTTGTTCATCCACCCTACACTTGCTGCCAGACACAGATAGACCTTCCTGGAAATAACTTGTCCCATCAAGGCTGCTTGAAATCCTTGCCTGATCCCTACTGCCCATTGGCCAGAGTCCAGAGGGAGGGTCACCTCCCTCCATTATACACATGCTACACTCCTGGCCAGTGGATCCATCCCCCAGGATGGAGTGCCCGCGTCCAGGACTTTCCTTCTGCCATCTGCTCCTGGAGGTTCATCCTCCATCTGCCTATGAGAACATCTGCCTCCCTCCAGGCCCAGATGTTGCCTTCACTAAGCTACAGCTTCACCTTCTCTTACCTACCATTGCTGTCTCCAGACACTCACCCGTAGGGGTCTCCTTTTCTATTTGTACCTCTCATAAGACACTGACCCAGTCTCCTTTATGATGTGATTGTTTCTGCACATCTCACCTTCCTCCTGGGCCGCAAGAAAAGATAGCACGTCTTAACCCTCCGGTCTCATCACAGCTCCCAGCATGGGGGCTCCACACAGCAGGCACCCAATTCACATTCACTGAGAGAAAGGAGAGTGGAGAGGGGCATAGGAAGGCAGGAATGCACACTGTCTGCCCACATGCCTCCCCTCCCGGCCCTTCTGATTTGGGAATCCTTCATCTACTACAAAACCAACTGTCCTTCCGTGCTGCCCTTCCCTGATTTCTGGGTATTCCTGGGATGGGAGAATGGGGACAGTTGTGACCAAGAAGAAGTAGAGGCAGGGGTTCTACAGGCTCCCCAGGGCTCTCTGCCACTGGTCACCTATCAGTTCTCAATCTTTCAGAATCAGGTTTGACAGCAAAGAAAATGCTGGTGAGAAACCAAAAGAAGGTTCTAACTGTGTGTTGAGCTCTTTAGAGGCCCATCCCGCTAAAGAGGGTTTGGGCACAGCGTAAATGAGGGAGCTTTACAAAAGGGAAGGGCTGTGAAAACGTGCAGGGTTATCACAGCATCTCAGGGATGGGGACTAGGCAAGTCTTGGCTTGGTGATGGATGGTTCACCGAGGTCCTTTCCGCTGCCCCCCCCCCCGCCCCCACAGGAGAGCCCTTACCTCTACACCCTGCGGAATAGCCAGCTGCTCCCAGACCAGGCTGAAGAAGCCCCCAATGTGCTCTACTGGGCCGTGCCAGTGGCGGCGGGAGTCGGCCTTGTGGTCGGCGTCATCGGGACAGTGGTCTGGAGGTGCAGAAGAGGTGGCCGGAGGGAAGATCCTCCAATGAGCCTGCGCACTGTGGCCCTCTAGGCCCAGGGGTGGGTCCCTCCCTTGCCACTCTCCTCACTGCCCTCTGCCCCAGCCACTCCCAGCCACCAGGACATGCTTCGACACCTGGTGCCATAGGAAGCCCAGGGGATAGTCACAACTTCTCAGGGCCTGGGCTTCTTCCAGGCCTATGCTCCTGGAAGGGGTATATTTAAATAAAGTTCAAAGCTGTTTTATTCCTGGGTTTGCCTGTGTGAAGCACTTGCCTTTCATCTCTTGTGCAGCCCAGGTGTGGGAACTGCCGCCTTTCGTGGCCTGCCTCCGGCAGGGCTGCCCAAGCCACGGCCAGTCAGAGCCCAAACTGCCTGCCACCATGAGCATATATCCTCAAATCACCAAACTCACTATTTCAAAGGCAGAAAAAACACTGGTCACCAGGTGGTGGCTGGAATTTTGGAGCTGGCTGGCCACCATTCAGTCCAATCCAACACATACTTATTAAGCAACTGTTTTGTGTCCAGGACAATGCGGAGCACTGAGGTGCCTCCTAGGCTGTGCATGTCACAGCCTGGCCGAGAAGTCAAACTCCTTCAGTAACCAAGAAGCCATGCAATGATGTGTAACTACTAGGGCATTAGTAGGTAAATGTGTCTCTTTGTTTTAAAGAATAGAAAGGGTTCTTCGGGGACAGTTTCTTGGGAGAGCGCAACTTTCACATGTCATTTTGAGAAAAAGGAAAAAAAAATGATTGAGACACAAATACCTCCTATATCCTCAACCTGATTTTCTCAAGGTGCTAAATTTAGGAAAAAAATCCTATTTCTATATGACCAGCTTTCTGAGAGAAAGCTAGAGAGAGTCTGAAAATATAGGCTGCATTCACTGAGCCCCTGCGAGGGGCAAGGCCCCGCGCTGGAGGCCTTCCACAGATGGTGTCTTTTATTCTGCACAAAAGCCCAGGGAGCGGGTAAAGGGAAAAGCTTTGAAAATAGAAGTGATGGTTGCGCAACATTGTGAATGCACTAAAGGCCACGAATTGTTCCATTTAAAATGATTAATTGTGTATCATGTGAATTTCACCTCAACATAAAAGAATCCAGGGAGGTAGACATCATCTGCATTTTAAACCTCTCTCTGATCCTGAAGTCCGGGATGACAAAGAGCCTGAGTCAGAATCCCGGATGCGACACTGAAATGTTGTGCCCTGAAGCTGCCTTCGCCAGCCTGAGCCCAGTTTCTTGGACTCCGCATCTGTAAAAATTGGAATAAGAGTACACATTTTGCTTATCTCACAGCACTCACACAGCAGGCACCCAATTCACATTCACTGAGAGAAAGGAGAGTGGAGAGGGGTGTAGGAAGGCAGGAATGTACACTGTCTGCCCACATGCCTCCCCTCCCGGCCCTTCTGATTTGGGAATCCTTCATCTACTACAAAACCAACTGTCCTTCCGTGCTGCCCTTCCCTGATTTCTGGGTATTCCTGGGATGGGAGAATGGGGACAGTTGTGACCAAGAAGAAGTAGAGGCAGGGGTTCTACAGGCTCCCCAAGGCTCTCTGCCACTGGTCACCTATCAGTTCTCAATCTTTCAGAATCAGGTTTGACAGCAAAGAAAATGCTGGTGAGAAACCAAAAGAAGGTTCTAACTGTGTGTTGAGCTCTTTAGAGGCCCATCCCGCTAAAGAGGGTTTGGGCACAGCGTAAATGAGGGAGCTTTACAAAAGGGAAGGGCTGTGAAAACGTGCAGGGTTATCACAGCATCTCAGGGATGGGGACTAGGCAAGTCTTGGCTTGGTGATGGATGGTTCACCGAGGTCCTTTCCGCTGCCCCCCCCCCCGCCCCCACAGGAGAGCCCTTACCTCTACACCCTGCGGAATAGCCAGCTGCTCCCAGACCAGGCTGAAGAAGCCCCCAATGTGCTCTACTGGGCCGTGCCAGTGGCGGCGGGAGTCGGCCTTGTGGTCGGCGTCATCGGGACAGTGGTCTGGAGGTGCAGAAGAGGTGGCCGGAGGGAAGATCCTCCAATGAGCCTGCGCACTGTGGCCCTCTAGGCCCAGGGGTGGGTCCCTCCCTTGCCACTCTCCTCACTGCCCTCTGCCCCAGCCACTCCCAGCCACCAGGACATGCTTCGACACCTGGTGCCATAGGAAGCCCAGGGGATAGTCACAACTTCTCAGGGCCTGGGCTTCTTCCAGGCCTATGCTCCTGGAAGGGGTATATTTAAATAAAGTTCAAAGCTGTTTTATTCCTGGGTTTGCCTGTGTGAAGCACTTGCCTTTCATCTCTTGTGCAGCCCAGGTGTGGGAACTGCCGCCTTTCGTGGCCTGCCTCCGGCAGGGCTGCCCAAGCCACGGCCAGTCAGAGCCCAAACTGCCTGCCACCATGAGCATATATCCTCAAATCACCAAACTCACTATTTCAAAGGCAGAAAAAACACTGGTCACCAGGTGGTGGCTGGAATTTTGGAGCTGGCTGGCCACCATTCAGTCCAATCCAACACATACTTATTAAGCAACTGTTTTGTGTCCAGGACAATGCGGAGCACTGAGGTGCCTCCTAGGCTGTGCATGTCACAGCCTGGCCGAGAAGTCAAACTCCTTCAGTAACCAAGAAGCCATGCAATGATGTGTAACTACTAGGGCATTAGTAGGTAAATGTGTCTCTTTGTTTTAAAGAATAGAAAGGGTTCTTCGGGGACAGTTTCTTGGGAGAGCGCAACTTTCACATGTCATTTTGAGAAAAAGGAAAAAAAAATGATTGAGACACAAATACCTCCTATATCCTCAACCTGATTTTCTCAAGGTGCTAAATTTAGGAAAAAAATCCTATTTCTATATGACCAGCTTTCTGAGAGAAAGCTAGAGAGAGTCTGAAAATATAGGCTGCATTCACTGAGCCCCTGCGAGGGGCAAGGCCCCGCGCTGGAGGCCTTCCACAGATGGTGTCTTTTATTCTGCACAAAAGCCCAGGGAGCGGGTAAAGGGAAAAGCTTTGAAAATAGAAGTGATGGTTGTGCAACATTGTGAATGCACTAAAGGCCACGAATTGTTCCATTTAAAATGATTAATTGTGTATCATGTGAATTTCACCTCAACATAAAAGAATCCAGGGAGGTAGACATCATCTGCATTTTAAACCTCTCTCTGATCCTGAAGTCCGGGATGACAAAGAGCCTGAGTCAGAATCCCGGATGCAACACTGAAATGTTGTGCCCTGAAGCTGCCTTCACCAGCCTGAGCCCAGTTTCTCGGACTCCGCATCTGTAAAAATTGGAATAAGAGTACACATTTTGCTTATCTCACAGCACTGCTGAAAAGTAAAGAGCTGTGTGTAAACCTCTAACTCTAAAATGCTGCACAAATGAAAATGGCCTTTTTCCTCTGTAAAGACTTGGGATAAGGCCCAGACTGTTGGGGAAGATGTGAGACCCAGAGATGAGTTTGGGGAAATGGGGTAATAACATATGGGTGGAGACTGCCCGCCTTCCTCTCAGAGAGGTTCATCATCTTACCTCTTTCTGGCACAACAGAGAACCTGGAGGACCTACACCCAGTTCCATGTTCTTCTGGGCGTCAGTGTCTGTTTCTATACAATGGGAACAGCATGCGTTCCCCTACTTTTTCCTATAGACTGGAAAACGTGGTGACCGAGTCACACATCCCAGCTTATGCTCCTGGCTTAAGACAGTGTCCCAACAAAGGTAACCCTTAGGCTCCTGGTTTGAGACAGTGTAACGACAAAGGTAACCCTTCTGCTCCTAGTCTGAGACAATGTAACCACAAAGGTAACCCTTACACTCCTGGCTTGAGACAGTGTAACGACAAAGGTAACATATGAAGTCTAGGAGTTCGCTTCACGGCCCCTCCCCTCCCCCACCCCTTTTCTTTCCTGCAAGTTTCTATTCTTCCAGCAGCTCCTACTTCAAAGCAGCAAGGATCCATAACCACAGGCGCCCCTCATTTGGGTGTGGGGAGGGGAGGGTGTTGGAACTCACACTGCCAGAGTAATCCAGACTAAAACATCAACAAATGGTCCCAGCTGGTTCGCCAGAGAACACTTGGCAAAACAAAGAAATCCTTTCTGGAGCGACACAGACACAGCCACAAACCAGGCACCAGATTCCCAGCAAGTACGTGCTAAGAAGCCAAAAATTAAAAATACGTGAGAAGCACCCACTTGAAACTGGTGGTATTACGTACATACACTGGCTGTGCGCCCTGTTGTTTTTCTGTAGGAAAATGTCCAGTCTAGCTAGGAGGGCACCCACAGCCACGCCATGAGCAAAGCC